CATCATGATAGACCGATTTAGCAGGAAGTTATAGCCATAAATGTATTTGCTGCCCATGCGCTGCCCACAGCTGTTGTTGATGTTGCGGTTTGGTTGACTGCAAACATGTTTACACAGTCACGAATAGACGCGCATAGGCATTCATATACTCACATAGACGCAATTGCTATGTAAATGTCCAATTATACACCCTTTACGTGAGATCGAATAACGAGGGAGGTAAAATCGAGCAAAAAAATTTTTTTTTTAATTCTTACATTTTTTAATTTTTATAATTATTCTAAACATATGTACAGAGTATTTCAAAGTCGGTACACCCGACTTTAGCTTTTTTACTTGTTATTGTACTATATTTGGGAAATGAACTCTTTAGAAACTTTTGAGAGTGTCGGAAGAGAAATATCATATCTATATATATAAAACAGTTTGTCCTCCTGACTGACTTACTGATTGCCAATCAAATCGGGACACGAAAAGCTGTGCAATCAACGCTCAGCCCTAATGGTAAGAGCTAGGAAGCTGAAATTTGAGCTCAAGTATCCCATCGTAGTGTAGGTGACCACTAAGAAGGGATTTTTGTAAATTCGAGCTCCAAGTGGGGGAAAATGAGCTCTAAAGTTTGTTTGAAAAATCCGCATTTTTCTACCAATCAACTTTAAATTTGGTTTTAATAATCTATAAAAGAATGCAGAAAAAACTGCATACTCGGTGTTTCAAAATTTGTGTTGGAGCTTGAATTATTGGGGTTTTAATATTTATTAACTTTTTCAAATTAAAAGTTTGTGTTATAAATTTTGTACATATATATATGTATATATACAGTGGGCCGTCGAACACTGTTGTTTAATTGTCTGTCTATGCTTTAAATCATAAGTGAAATTTTTAAAACGAAAATCAACAACGGCAACTGCAAGTCATTGGAACGCTCTTTTTCTTTCGTTCACATTTTTTGACCACCCACGCTCTTTTATTGCAAATGAAAAATGCCAAAAATTTACGGTTACCGTCGCTAGGCAACGACTGAGTAAGCGATAGTAAAGCAGAAACCGAATAACGGAGCTACACATATTCTGCTTCTCATTGCGGGCAGATGTATGTATGTATATGATTTGTTCTAATTGATCTCAATAAATTATAATATGTTATTATCTAGATATTCTGTTTATTGCATTCAAACTTCGATGTTTCGATATCGATAGTGTCGGTGGATTCAGCTATTTTACTCTAGGAAATTGAGATGGACATTGTCAGTGCTTTTTGATCGTGGCTCATCGCTGCACGGCATTGATACGAGTGCCGTGTTTCATGTTCCGAGTTCGTGGGTGATCGTATTGACTCAGTAAGGCACGAAAAGACACAAATGTTAGTTTACTCGTATAATTATTCCCCTTTTTTGCACATAGTCCATTTTAAAACGTTGCGTTAGCTCTATATATATCAAACAGTTTATCCTGACTGATTGGTGATCAACTCACAGCCCAAACGGTAAAAGCTAGGAAGCTGAAATTTTGACTCAAGTATCCTTTCATAACATCCATAACAGTGTAGGTGCGCACTAAGAAAGGCTTTTGGAAAATTCAAGCTCCAAAGGGGGGGAAAACGAGCTTAAAAAATATTAGTTAAAGTGGTCATGTGTGTGTACGTTTAACGAAATATTTTGGCAAGAACAAAAATGTAACTGACTACTGAACAATTTTTTGTCATGAACGGAAAATGTTCATTTAAATACCTTAAATGCGTTCCTACTGGTAATAAATAAGTCGAAAATATATGGATAGGTCATGCACACACAAAATAAAAACAAGTAAAAAAGCTAAAGTCGGGTGTCCCGACTTTGAAATACTCTGTACATATGTTTACAATAATTATATAAAATAAAAAAAATTAAGAAAATAAAAAAAAATTTGATCGATTTTCCCTCTCTCGGTATTCGAACTCACGTAAAGGGCTTATAATTGCACATTTACATAGCAATTGCGTCTGTGTGAGTGTATGTATGCCTATGCGCATCTATTCGTGTCTGTGTAAGCATTTTCGCAGTCAACCAAACAGCAACATCAACAACAGCCGCGGGCGGTTCTTCGGCAGCGCTTGAGCAGCGCTGCAGCAGCAAATATATTTATGGCTATAACTTCTTGTTAAATCGGTCTATCATAGTGAAACTTGGCATACGGACACATAATAACTAATTGGGGGTATTTGCAAAAATTTTAGTTCGAAATTCCAAGAATTACGGGAGTTACGATTTGCGGGGTAGAGGGGGGAGGGAGCGAAATTCCACACTGTTGTTTAATTGTCTGTCTATGCTTTAAATCATAAGTGAAATTTTTAAAACGAAAATCAACAACGGCAACTGCAAGTCATTGGAACGCTCTTTTTCTTTCGTTCACATTTTTTGACCACCCACGCTCTTTTATTGCAAATGAAAAATGCCAAAAATGTACGGTTACCGTCGCTAGGCAACGACTGAGTAAGCGATAGTAAAGCAGAAACCGAATAACGGAGCTACACATATTCTGCTTCTCATTGCGGGCAGATGTATGTATGTATATGATTTGTTCTAATTGATCTCAATAAATTATAATATGTTATTATCTAGATATTCTGTTTATTGCATTCAAACTTCGATGTTTCGATATCGATAGTGTCGGTGGATTCAGCTATTTTACTCTAGGAAATTGAGATGGACATTGTCAGTGCTTTTTGATCGTGGCTCATCGCTGCACGGCATTGATACGAGTGCCGTGTTTCATGTTCCGAGTTCGTGGGTGATCGTATTGACTCAGTAAGGCACGAAAAGACACAAATGCTAGTTTACTCGTATAATTATTCCCCTTTTTTGCACATAGTCCATTTTAAAACGTTGCGTTAGCTCTATATATATCAAACAGTTTATCCTGACTGATTGGTGATCAACTCACAGCCCAAACGGTAAAAGCTAGGAAGCTGAAATTTTGACTCAAGTATCCTTTCATAACATCCATAACAGTGTAGGTGCGCACTAAGAAAGGCTTTTGGAAAATTCAAGCTCCAAAGGGGGGGAAAACGAGCTTAAAAAATATTAGTTAAAGTGGTCATGTGTGTGTACGTTTAACGAAATATTTTGGCAAGAACAAAAATGTAACTGACTACTGAACAATTTTTTGTCATGAACGGAAAATGTTCATTTAAATACCTTAAATGCGTTCCTACTGGTAATAAATAAGTCGAAAATATATGGATAGGTCATGCACACACAAAATAAAAACAAGTAAAAAAGCTAAAGTCGGGTGTCCCGACTTTGAAATACTCTGTACATATGTTTACAATAATTATATAAAATAAAAAAAATTAAGAAAATAAAAAAAAATTTGATCGATTTTCCCTCTCTCGGTATTCGAACTCACGTAAAGGGCTTATAATTGCACATTTACATAGCAATTGCGTCTGTGTGAGTGTATGTATGCCTATGCGCATCTATTCGTGTCTGTGTAAGCATTTTCGCAGTCAACCAAACAGCAACATCAACAACAGCCGCGGGCGGTTCTTCGGCAGCGCTTGAGCAGCGCTGCAGCAGCAAATATATTTATGGCTATAACTTCTTGTTAAATCGGTCTATCATAGTGAAACTTGGCATACGGACACATAATAACTAATTGGGGGTATTTGCAAAAATTTTAGTTCGAAATTCCAAGAATTACGGGAGTTACGATTTGCGGGGTAGAGGGGGGAGGGAGCGAAATTCCAAAATATACATTTTCTGCGTATTCACATAAGGCATCTGGGACTAAAATTTGGTGTTCCTAGGTCTTATAGTCTCCGAGATATAGGCGATTATACGAATGGAAAATCGGGAAAACCCCCATAGGGAGGAAGTGGGGGAAAATCAAAAAAATAAAACAAATTCGTATAGAATACACACATAACGCATCTTTGTGCAAAATTTGGTGTCTCTATCTCTTATAGTCTCTGAGATCCAGGTGTTCATACGGACGGACAGACAGGGCTAGATCAACTCGTCTCGCCATGCTGATCAAGAATATATATACTTTGTGGGGTCTGCCACGCCTCCTTCTGCCTGTTACATTTTTCAGCTCCCGCAAACCTAATATACTTCTGTACATTTCATGTACAGAGTATAACAATTTGAAACATTATATTGAGCCGGGCTAAGGCAGGCAGTAAATAAACTTATAATTGTAAGAACATTTTGCTTAGTTAATTAAACAAACTTGGCGAAAATTGTGTGTCGCCGATTGGGCAAGTCTGTTTGTTAGCGAAAATGTGAATGGTCATAAACTGCCATTTGAATATACAATACGGACCAGGGAAACAAAATGTAAGTACATTTTTGTAATTTCTGAATTCAATTTCAAATGCTAATTTTGTAAAACATAGATCGCCACAACAGGACGCAAATTTCGTCCAATTTATGGAAGCACCCCCCGTAACTGCGCAAAATTCCAAATGATGTTATAAAAAATGTAACAAATAAATTAAATTTTTCATAAGCAACATTCTTTTGTGGGATCAGATGCTCTTCTTAAACATTTGTGTTGTATTTTTTCAACAATTAATTGGCGTTTCCGCAAATGCTCGCGGGCCAATATTAATGCAAATGGCATATTTGATTTTTATTTAACATTGTACGTTAGAGAATTTAAACACAATTAGTGAGTCAAATGTGAGCGTCGACAATCAGCTGTTGCTGACAACTGGCTTGGAAGGGAAGTTCGAAAAAATGAAATCTTTCGAAGTTCTGTGGCACCGACGTATTTTTTGGGAGTTTTCAAAAACAACTGTAGACGAAACCACCCTTTTATAAGACCTTTTTTAGGTATGGAGTGTGTTTTTACAATTTATGAGTGACCATAAATATTTAAGCTAACGTAAAAATTTGTTATTTTTAAATTGTCCTTGATGTTTAACGCATGTTTGTTGATTAAACATACATTTTTTGAGTGCTAATACTATCCTCGATTTTATTCGAAGCATTTGTTTTGTCATCTCCTTACTTGCAGGCAATGGAGAAGCGTCTTGGTGCTTCTCACAAATTAAAGGAGCCTTAGATGATGACGTCACAGATGCAGATATTATATCCTGCGTTGAATTTAATCACGACGGGGAGTTGCTGGCTACTGGCGATAAAGGCGGTCGTGTCGTAATATTTCAGGTATAACTTCTACTATTAATAATGCTATTTTTAATCTCTCGTGAGCAACTAGGTTCTTAATGTAATTTTGTGTTCTATTTTTTTTTGCTGGTGGGGAGTGGGTAAAACAACACTTAGTAATGACACTGTTAAGGTATACAAAACAAATACTGAATACGAACGATTATCGGAGCCGCGATATGCGAGTGAGTTTTTGGGTAACTACTTTACGGGCTTCTGTTTCCATCTGTTGTACTGTAATGCACCTGGCGGAACTTCAGTTTTTGTAATCTGAACTGCTGCACACAAAACCATAGACACAATACCGATGTAGATTTACATATGTATGTCATTTGAAAAAGTAAATAAAAGCTAAATAAAGAATATCTTTCCGATTTTACAGTTAGTTTAGGGAAAAGAATATTTTGTATTTTATATTAAAAGTTCTTTATCTGGGAATAGGGTAGTCAAGTTCGCTCAGTCCATGTCTTAAAGATACATACTTATATAGTACTATTTACAGTTTATTTAAAAATATTTATTTTAATGAATTAACTAATTTATACTGAGTGAAATACTCGATAACTAATAATAATTTTTAAATTTTAGCGTGATCCCGCCTCGAAAACAGCTAATCCACGTCGCGGAGAATACAATGTTTATTCCACTTTTCAATCTCACGAGCCGGAATTCGATTATCTAAAATCGTTGGAAATTGAAGAGAAAATCAATAAAATACGTTGGCTGCAACAAAAAAATCCTGTACACTTTCTGTTGTCTACAAATGACAAAACGGTGAAATTATGGAAAGTCAGTGAGCGCGATAAGTCCTTTGAAGGCTATAACACAAAAGAGGAGAACGGTCTGATTAGAGATCCACAAAATGTAACAGCCTTACGAGTTCCTTCAGTGAAGCAAATACCACTTATGGTCGAGGCTTCACCCCGTCGCACCTTTGCCAACGCGCACACATACCACATTAATTCAATTAGTGTTAATTCTGACCAAGAGACTTTTCTATCTGCAGATGATTTGCGTATAAATCTTTGGCACCTGGAGGTAGTTAACCAGAGTTATAATATTGTTGACATTAAGCCAACTAATATGGAGGAGCTTACCGAGGTTATAACCGCGGCCGAATTTCATCCGACTGAGTGCAATGTATTTGTGTACTCTAGTTCAAAGGGCACAATACGACTATGTGATATGCGCTCGGCGGCATTATGCGACCGACATAGCAAACAATTCGAGGAACCGGAAAATCCAACTAATCGCAGCTTCTTTAGTGAGATTATCAGTTCGATCAGCGATGTCAAGCTCAGCAACTCGGGTCGTTACATGATCTCCAGGGATTACTTAAGCATCAAAGTTTGGGATTTGCATATGGAAACAAAACCCATTGAAACGTATCCGGTAAGTGTAAAATATGCCCTATACCTTCATTATTTTATTTATGTATCTATGAAATGTTGATTACAGGTACACGAGTACTTGCGTGCCAAGCTGTGCTCTCTGTACGAGAATGATTGCATTTTTGATAAGTTCGAGTGTTGTTGGAATGGCAAGGACAGCGCCATAATGACCGGCAGCTATAATAATTTTTTCCGTGTTTTTGATCGGAACTCAAAAAAGGACGTTACACTGGAAGCCTCCAGGGACATTATTAAGCCGAAAACTGTGTTGAAGCCCCGCAAGGTTTGCACTGGTGGCAAACGAAAGAAGGACGAAATCAGCGTTGATTGTCTGGATTTTAATAAGAAAATACTGCACACCGCTTGGCATCCGCATGAGAATATCATCGCTGTGGCGGCGACCAATAATCTGTTCATTTTTCAGGATAAATTTTAGCCAACACCAATTGCATTAAGTACCCTGCAAGTCTTCGTTCGATTGGTTTAAAAATGTAGCCCTTGCAACTACTTCGTCATCAACGTTTCATATACAATTAGTTGTACTGCTATTTTCTTTTCAATTTAGTATGTGCAACTGCACTAATAATTGCTTACTTTTTAAAGCTATCTGTCTTCTACATCAAGTCGGCATTACACATACCCTTTTTTACACAAACAATGCACACTCATAAAAGCAATAGATACTACTTTTTTCTTAGGCAATACAACTATTCTACACATGGTATTGAACATTAAAAATTCATTTTGGATCGTAATTGGAAATAAACTAAAAACACGACTTAATATTTTTATTTTGATGCCTTGTACGTTATGTAATTCATAAAATAAAGATCTATCACACAAATTTATAATTATAACCCAGAAAAATTGAAAACTCGTTTTGAAAATGTTCTTATTAGAATGATGTTTTTGGAATAAAATGTCTCTGATTTATTTTACATCTATATTGTTGGCTACGATAGGACAACTTGGCTATAAAATCAAAGATATCCTATTATTAATGACACCAACCATAAACTGTGAACGTTTTTTTTTAAAAAAAGGCGAGCTTTTTACTTGTTTGTATTGACGTGCACCGCACATAAGGTTTTGCTTCTCTGTTATTATTTTAAATTTATTTAGTTTGCAGAACAAATAATTTTATATAGGCTCCATTGGTTGTTAAGATTAAAACAGAAACATAGAAAAAAGAACCTAATTATTTGAACATAACTTCATTCCATTTTTAAATAACATCTCCAAAAACAAAGCGCTTGTATTTTCTAACCACAATTTAAAATGCTCATTTTAAACACTTTAAAATTCTAAGAATCTATTTTAAAAACAATTATTAAAGCATAAAATTTAAGATCTTAAGCATAAAAACATATTCAAATCACGACACGTTATGTAAAATATTAAGATTATCAATTCGTTTTTATTTTATTTACTATACATATTTAAAACTAGGTCCTGCAAATGCTAAGTTACTCTTTGCATTACATTAATCAATATATTCCATCTTGCTTTCCTAAATACACATGTATTTAGTGTTGTTATTCATTTGTCATAGTTACCTAGTGTTAAAGAGAACAATCGCTGACAAATATAACGGCTAAATAATTTAATATATAATATAATTTAAATGTCTGACATTAAAACAACTCAAAATAAATTAACTTCAGAAACAAACATAGTTACACAGTGCTTCATAATAATATGAAATAGATATATATTCTGTATAATATAATGAAATTGCATTCAGTACAAATTTCGTTAAAAAAATATAATAAATATTGTAATAATTTTTTATTGAAAAAAAAAATGAAATGAATATATATATATATATATATATATATATATATATATATATATATATATATATATATATATATTCAATTCATTCGTTTTATCCAATTCATTTGTATATGTTTATTTCGGTTTTCCATTAAAATTGAAAATCAGACAGTATTTTAGAAAAAACAGATTTTCAGTTTTTTTTTTTCTTGCTATTTATGACTATTCAGGAATTCACCCACTTCTAAAGCCAGAGTTAATTTAAGCAGCACAAATTTACGATAGTTAAATTCGGCAACATATTGCGATAATATTTTTGTAAATAATAATAAAAGCAATAATTTATTTTGCATAAAAAAATTCATTCAATGAAATAAAACACTGGACAGTCAGTAGTAGTGCCACGATTGCAAAAAAGAAACGAAATGCAATTGATAAGTTTTAAAAACAAAGTTTATATTGAATATATTAAAAAATGAGAATACAGCATAGATTTGAAAGCAAGAGAGTACATAATAAAGGTATAAAAATAAGATGAAACATTTAAAAATGTCGTTTTAATCTGACCTTTAATTGGAGGATATTATATAAGTGGGCGTATGTAATAACTAGCAGGTGTTGCCCGCCTTAACCCGGCTCCATATAAAATGTTTTAAATTGTATTTATTTTGTGTGTGCATGACCTACCCATATGTTTTTACCTTATTAATTCCCAGTAGGAAGGGTTTTAAGGTATTTAAATGAACATTTTCTGTTCTTGACAAAAAATTGTTCAGTAGTCCGTTACATTTTTGTTCTTGCCAAAATATTTCGTTAAACGTACACACACATGACCATTATAACTAATATTTTTTAAGCTCGTTTTCCCCCCTTTGGAGCTCGAATTTTCCAAAAGCCTTTCTTAGTGCGCACCTACACTGTTATGGATGTTATGAAAGGATACTTGAGTCAAAATTTCAGCTTCCTAGCTTTTACCGTTTTGGGCTGTGAGTTGATCCCCATTCAGTCAGGACAAACTGTTTGATATGGAAGATAGACTATGTGCAAAATAGGGGAAAAATTTGTTAACGATATATCGATACGTCGATCCATCGATGTTTGCCCAAACATCGTACATTATTCATGTTTTGCTGGACGGTCGCATTTCTTTGTGTGGTTTACCGAAGAAGGTATATTTGTATTATAAATTATTTTATGTTTTTATTAAAATGTGTATTTTGTAATATAAATTTAAGATTGTTAAGCATTTGACCTTAAAAGGCGTAGCTGCAACGCGTCGTTGTTTTTCAAACTGTATATAATCTATTTTTTTAAGTAAGCCACACAAAGCCATCAAAAGTCAATATTACGAGTACTTTATTGATGAACAACATTAAGTAAAATATTATGACAGTCTCTCTTAATATTTAAACATTTTTTATTTCATCGATGTTTTTTGCGATGCATCGACCATACATCAATTTTTTATAAAGAGTCATCAACATCGATGTTTTTCCTTCGACTTACGTCCCTATCAAAAAGCACTGACAATGCCCATTTCAATTTTCAAGAGTAAAACTTTCGATAGTTGAATCCACCGATACCATCGATATCGAAACATCGAAGTTTGAATGCAATAAACAGAATATCTAGATAATAACATATTATAATTTATTGAGATCAATTAGAACAAATCATATACATACATACATCTGCCCGCAATGAGAAGCAGAATATGTGTAGCTCCGTTATTCGGTTTCTGCTTTACTATCGCTTACTCAGTCGTTGCCTAGCGACGGTAACCGTAAATTTTTGGCATTTTTCATTTGCAATAAAAGAGCGTGGGTGGTCAAAAAATGTGAACGAAAGAAAAAGAGCGTTCCAATGACTTGCAGTTGCCGTTGTTGATTTTCGTTTTAAAAATTTCACTTATGATTTAAAGCATAGACAGACAATTAAACAACAGTGTTCGACGGCCCACTGTATACAAACATACATACATACAAACATGTATCAGAGAACTGCAAAGAGTATGTTCGACCACCCTTGCTGAAAATTCAATCAAATCAGATCATTGCTTGGCTGCAAACGAGCTCGAACGAGTTGAGTACTCTCAGCATTTTTCTTATGATCGAACTTGCATGAGAAATCGTTCTATTTCTACGAACAAGCACCGGATTGGTTTGCTTACGAGCACACCAGGCTCGGTCACTTTGTTTTTTGCGGTCAGTTCGAACGAGTACCGGCCTTGATTGGTTTGCTTTCAAACAGTTCAGGCTCGGTCACTTCGTTTAAGATGACTGGGTCCTGATCGAAACAAAGCAGACTTTGCAGAATTTGCGTTCGATCGAACGAGTATAGTGCCGTTATTGCTCGAGTATTGTTTGGGTATTATTTTTTTTATTTTTTATTTTTATTCCTTTATACTCCGCTTGGGAGCTTAGGGGCTTCTACAAGAACATTTTTCCATCTGACTCTCAATTTCTAGCCGTCTGTCTGTCTTGGCTGTAGCTGTATCCCATGTGATGTTGTTTCTGGGTTAAATTCTGAAGATAATCCGCCGCCAGGTTGTCGTCTTTTTTAGGTCTGTCGACCCGATTGCTTCCTTGGAAGTGTTCCTCCAGAGTATCCGTAACATCGACATCGAAGTGGAGCCGTTTTGGGTTCATTTGTCTTGTATAAGTTTCAATAATCATTTGTTGTCAGTCGACCTGGTGATTGGCCAGATGCGACTTATTCCAGTGGCGGGGCTGCCACCTGTCGCCGCCGGGGAGAGGCGTCTTGGGGGGGTTATACTATTGTGTTGTCCAGATAGCGTGGATGGATGTGTTCTTTTTGGTGGATAAATGACCACGACGTTGAAGGCATGTATTTAGGAGAGTTTTCGAGAGGAGACATTTTTGGGTGGAGCTCGAACCCACGACCTCTTGTTTGGTGTGCGCATGCGCTATCCACTACGCCACCGAGGCCCCCATTGTTTGGGTATTGCGCGAGCTATACGCGCGTATTACTCGAGTATTGCGCAGGTTTTACCCGAGTATGACCGTATATGGAACTATGTACATATTTATGTATTTGTGCGTGCATGTGTTGTTTGCAATTATGCGCAAACATGTGTATATGTACGTATGAATGAACAGAATGAAAACAAAACATATGTATACATATATTTATTATAGCCTGTACCCAAAGGGTAAAAGGCTATACTAGTTTTGTGCGAATGTATGTAACACACAGAAGGACGCGTGGCACACCCCACAAAGTATATATATTTGTAAGGGTGAATAAAAAGCTTTGCCCTTATGGTTTTTTTTATGATTTTTCTTATCTTATCTTTTGTTACACATTAATTTCCGTTTCTTTAGGCAGTTCTAATTTCTTACATGCGTACGCTTCTGCTTTCAAAACTCAACTCCCCTTCTTTATAATTTATAATTTTTTTCACAATGTCCAAGTATATACTATACAACATTCATTTCATTTGAATAACAATGATTTGTTTACATATTCTTGATCAGGGTGACAAGCTGAGTCGATATAGCCATGTCCGTCCCTCCGTCCGTTCGTCCGTCTGTATGAGCGCAAGGATCTCAGAAGGTACAAGAGCTAGAATTACCAAACTTGGTGTCTAGGTTCCCCTAAGCCTTAGGCAGGTCAAGTTCATTTTTATAGCCTGTACCCAAAGGGTGAAAGGCTATACTAGTTTTGTGCGCATGTATGTAACACACAGAAGGAGGCGTGGCAGACCCCACAAAGTATATATATTCTTGATCAGGGTGACAAGCCCAGTCGATATAGCCATGTCCGTCTGTCCGCCTGTATGAGCGCAAGGATCTCAGAAGGTACAAGGGCTAGAATGACCAAACTTGGTATCCAGGTTCCCCTAAGCCCTAGACAGGTCAAGTTTATTTTTTTATTCTGATACACACCTCCACTCCCCCGCAATTCGTGTTTTTTTTGTATAACTTCCGTAATTCTTGGAATTTTGAAATCAATTTTGGTAGTTACATCCAGTTAGT